CACACACACACACACACACACACACACACATACACACACACACACACACACACACACACACTGTGACCAAAACAGAAACTTTATTTTTCTGCTTTTAGCCTTTCTGCAGCAAGCAATAAAAGTAAACAGAGGCAGTTTGAAAAGCAAATTACTTGCTCAAAATAGCCATAAAAATAAAATTCTGATTGAATTTTTCCATTATACGAAACATAATATAAACAAACGCTTGCTTCTGAATGACCACATCACTACACACATAGTAAAGTTTGTCTGGCCCAATTCTAGCCCACAAAAAGCACTAACACACCAACTCTCAGCCCAGATACCACAAAGAATGACGACCATTTGTGAGTCCAGACGTGTTTCGCCAGAGGTAGTCTAGCACCATGGAAACCAAAGCACAACTGGGACAGTTGTGGCATGCCATCTTAAAATCTGTGCCATCGTTGCCAGACCTGGCCCACACCTGTCTGCTCTGTCGGTACTCTCCATAACTTTCACAGCTTGTTAGAAAGTAGCTGAATTGAGGCCAATTTGGTAAATTTCATTGTGTGTGAAGACACGATGCTGCTAGGCTCTTGTGACTTGATATTTTTTCCCTGCTGTTTTCTGCTCCCATTACACTTTAAAATGTCAGCAGCACATCTCAAACATGACAGCACCATGTTATTATCAGCAAGAAACACAGCTAGACACGATGCAGGACAATTTACTTGGACAATTACCAATGCAGTGTGGGCATGCTGGAGTCTTTAGCATGAGGCTAGGGTGAAAACTAATTAAAAGTTCAAAATGAGTGTGACATTCATGTCTATGATGATAAGTGTGTGTAAATGTTTGACCAACTTAACACAAATATGATAAATTAAACCTGACCAGCACTTGGATAATATTGGAAAACCTGAAAACATTCTGTAGTAGAGCATTCTTGTTTAAAACACTGAAATGTAGGCTACAGTGAGTTGGTCTCAGCTGCTGCTGCCGCTTCATTTTTCTACTTGGCGTTTGGTTAATTGTTAACGAGCTTGGACAATGGCTGATTATTTTGGAAGTGGCATACATTGGTTGATTAATTGGTCCGCCTCTAAGGATTGGTCTGGATTTCATGCCCCTGTGCCTGAATGAGATGATTCAAACTGATCCAAATGAATTCTGTTTGGTCCAACTTTCTGCTGGTTCACTTTGTTCAAGTCTGAATACCAATTATGAAGATTTTTCACTAAAGAATATTTTGAAACATGAGGAAAAACCAAAGCTCAGAGCTGTTTGTGAGCCAGACATCCAGTATGTGTGATGAACCTTTGGAGTCCACTGACCCTGAACTTCATCTGCAGCTCTTCAGTCTGATTACTGAAAGTATCTCTTCAGGCATGAGCTGAGTGTTGTACCTTTGTGTTGTTTTGTTTTTCCACTTTATCACCATCCTTCTCCTTCTTCTTCTCCTCTTTTTTCTTGTCACGCTCTTTCTGCAGACAAGACAGAAGCCTGTGTAAGACAATGGTTTGTTTTGCCCTGCACTCAACCGCCCATTCTAAATCCAATAACTACACCCACGGACAAACCTTTTGAAAATAATGAATTAGTTTTGATTATGCTTATTACTTCACCGTCTTTTGTAAAATGTTTCTATGGTGCATTAAAGTATGTTTACAAGCATACGTTTTAAAGGCTTTTATTATCAGTTACAGTTTAGTGAAGGCTCTTTCAGAAGGCAGTACCACTAAATGTGCGAATAGCCCATTCCATGTACACAGTTCAGAAGTCGCAGATGGAGATGCTCTCAGAAGTGCTTTCAAGGTGCATTAATCGGTGCTGTATCAAAGGAGATGTGGAAATAAACTCAGCAGATCTGACGTGTTGCTCTCACTTACGCTAGTGATGGGTTGCAGAAGGACTCTTGCCCCTTATTATATTACAGAGATCAAATTACGTCCAAATAGCCTACGTCTTTTTAAGGTTTAAATTTCAAAATAACTTGATTTAATAGGGTTGTACTCACGCTGCTGCATAGCTACTTTTAGCCAGTCTCTGTGCCGATAAAGATTGTAGCTTACTTCTCCTCTGCACACAACCTATATGGAGTCAGGAGTTTGCAGGGCTCAAAAGGATCTACCAAAAGTTTAAATTTGGTGTTCTGATTCAAGAAAACCGCAGTTGGGTGGTCCCCAAAAGTGTCTGTCAGCACTACGTTGGCCCACCTTATCAGGAGTTGTCATGTATGTTTCTGTCACTACCTCACTCAGAGGTTAAAAGGTGCGACAGACTGGGATGTCTCCTTTTGTTTTTTGAATTGAGCGAGGTGGTCAGAACATGCATCTGTGACGGTACGAGACATCTTCTGAAAGAGCCTAAAATTAGTCAATAATTGTGAACATTTTTTAAGACCTCTGCAAATTTCCCTTGCATGTTGTCAATCGACTTCTGCAGGGTTTCTGCAGAGATCTTCAAATGACAGTTTTAGTTCTTATATACCAGTTTAATGCATTTTTAACAATTTTCAATGCAAATGCAAAAATTGCACAAGTACTTTTAAGACATTTTAAAGTCGCTTGTTAGGCCACCGGCAGCACAGTGGCTTAGTGGTTAGCGCTGTTGTCTCACAGCAAAGTCCGGGGTTTGGTCTATGATCCGGACCCTTTCTGTGTGGAGTTTGAATGTTCTTCTCTTGTTTGCAAAAGTGATCCATGATCTCACTGTAATTTGCCCGGTTAAATAAAGATTACTTTAGAAAGGGGAAGACCGTGGTGGAAGGAGGTAGGGATTTGCCCTGTAACAGGTGGGTTGCCAGTTCAAATCCCTGCTTCGTCCGTCTCAGCCTTTGTGTCCTTGGGCAAGACTCTTCACTATCCTTGCCTACTGGTGGGGGTCAGAGGGCAGCCCCACCTCTGTCAGTCTGCCCCAGGGCTACAGTGTAGCTTACCACCATCAGTGTGTGAATATGTGTGACTATAGTGTGAAGAGTTTTGGAGTTCTTTAGACTTGATAAAGTGCTACAGTATATAGGTTTAGACCATTTACCATTTAGGCTACTATAAAAATGACAGTGAATACATAAACTACTACATGGTCTTTGGCTTGTTTTACAGATTAAGACATGTGTCTTTGTAAGTTTTTCTTCCAATTCTAACTTAACAGGTTTCAGATCATAGCATTTGTCCCTGTATCTTTTTCATCATTAGATTTGGTTGTCATCAGCTAATTGATCAAAATCCTTTTAAAGACTGATGAACACAACTGTCAACATTTCATCTTTTTTTTCTCAGTTCCTGCTCATTTTTCGAAGCGAGTGGTGCTGAATTGGTGGTGTTCAGACATGAACGCACCTCCGCCTGAAGCATCACACTCAATTCAAAAGATGAGTGAAGTTTGTTCAATTTCCCGATGGTTACAGCTCCAGTAACTAGACAGATTTAGTTGCTGTCTCCCGCTTACAGGTGATTTGTGGCTGTCAGACTGAGGACCGATTTCAAAGCATTGACACCCTTTGTTCCACCTTTTTTTTTTTTTTTAGAAAAACTGTAAAATCCTTTGTCATACTAACCACTGACTGACTGCAGTCATGCCCTGAGTTCCTCGGCTTCAAGCCCCTTAGCTGAAATTTGCATTTACCCCTTTTGTATCAGCTCCTGATATTTTCACGTTTTTCTCCAGTGTCGTTTTCGATGACAATGACCAAATATTTTCGTTGACGCCCCCTTTTTTCATGATGATAACAAGACAGTAACGAAATAAACACAGCTCTTTGATGACTGAGACATGACGAAACGTGTGTGAGTTTTCGTTGACGAGACGAGACTGGACGAAAATGTTAGTCAGTGGTCTGTCAATCATTTAGAATGCAGAATGGAGGGAGGGACACCAGCGATGTTACACACACACGCGCACACACAGCAGCACAGAACATTTCCTCCACTCATTCAGTAAAGAAGGAAGACAAACAGCCTGCACCGCTTCGCAAAAAAAAAAAAGTCAGTTCCTCACCTGTAGCTTAACCAGGGAGTAACGTCCCCACCATTAAAAGCTGTCACAGGTCCATTCTGAGCGCTCAGAAGCTGTTTGTTTACGTTCATGGCGAAAGTAAAACTCTTCTGTGTTTTCTTTAAATTAATTAATTAATTAATTTATTAATTTATTTATTTATTTATTTATTTATTTTGCGTGGGGGAGTTAGAAACTGCACGTCAGTGCTTCTGTTCTGAATAAAAGCCTGGTGCATGTAAACACTCGTTTGCACAAGTTTAATTGTCTACTAACTAAGTTTAGGACTGCATGATGTCCATTTTTATAAATAAGATGCATCTTCATCGTCCTGGCTGACCAGTTTGAGTTGAACATGTGTGTTCTCCTTTAATGCTTATAATATTGGGCATGTGTATTTTGTATGTTCATTGCACTTTAGCAAATTCTGAGAAATAAAGCCACAAAGTGAGAATGTTTTTGTTTTGGGCATTTTTAGAGTAACACAAATTCACACATGTTAACACAAATTACTCAAATTAATTTGTAAAGACTAATACGTTGTCTTTTTTAAGACTAAAGCTAAACTTTTTTTTAAGCTTTCATCGACTAAAACTGGACTAAACCCATTAAATATAGAAATAACTAAAACTGACTAAAACTAAGAAGTATTTTTGTTCAAAAGACTAAGACTAAAATTAAAATGGCAGTCAAAAACAACACTGTTTTGTCTTCATACCTGGTTGCTCTGCATGTTATACTAAAGCATATTATGTCAATAATTCATAGCTGAATTTCCCTGAAGCGTGAGTCTGGCTGAGCAATTTTGGAAATCACTCATCTCTTTTTTTTTTTTGAAAACTAGTGAAAACATTTTTAATGCCACTAAGATTCAAATCTAATGCTTTTAATGCCATTTAACACCCTTTATTTAGTTAAATCAAATTAATGGACTTTATTTTTCATGTCCCAGGGTAATTCTGTTTTGGGACAAATCCTAACCAATGACAACCCTTTTTTGTACTGTATGTCAAGGCTTGGAGTTTGACAGTGGTTTGTCAGACCACTTCTTGAGGCTTGACCACAGTTTATCAATGAGATTGAGGTTTGAGGAGCTTCCTGAGCATGGATCCACATGTTTTATGTATTGTTCCCCAAGCTACTCAGTTAAAAGTTTTGTCTGATGGCACAGTGCTCCATCATGCTAGAAAAGGTGACACTAATCTGTTTTTTTGGTGGATGGAACAAGTTGAAGATGATTAGATACCATTCTTTATTTATGGCTGTGCTCTGAAGCTGAACTGTTTGTAAATCCACTCTTTTAGCTGTGAAACCCCACACATGAATGGTCTCAGGATGCTTTACTGTTGGTATGACATAGGACTGTTGGCATCCCTCACTGCTCATCTTTTTTCTAGATGCCCTAAATAAACAAAAAGGGGATTTATCAGAGAAAATGACTTTACGCCAAACAGCAATCCAATCCCTGAGTTTAACTAGAGTGTGTGTATTGGTGTACTAATAATTATAGTCTACATTACACATAACTCTGATCTCACAGCGGTACGTGGCCCAGTCCTGTCCAGTGGTAACATAATTACATTGGTCTATGACCCAGTCTTGTCCAGCAGTACCATGATTAACCTTCAGTGTTGCTCAGAAATGCAGAGAGAGGCCCTTCCCTTTATTAAAGCCCCACTTAGTCCCAGTGGGCACCACTGTGAAGGGAGCTGGAGTTCTGGATGGAAAGAGCTGCTAAACGTCACAGAAACAACAAACTCTTTTCCTTAATGTGGTTTTAATGCACTAAGCCCAGCAGATTTAATATGCAGGCATTATTAGCGTGGAGAGAGTTGATGTTGTGCTTTCAGGTTAAGGCTTTGTTTTGAGTGACTGAGCCAACAGGATTTAGATAATGACTGTCAGAATACCAAAGGAAGAGGCTTTAGTTTCACGGGCGGCACTGGTAATCTACTCCGAACAATCTGCTTCACTGTCTGCCCCGCTATGCAATTACTTTATTTGCTCTTTATCTATTCAGAGGTGGCGGCACACGATGATCAATATTTACAAAGATGGAAATCAGATCAAACAACAAGAACATCTTCTACCACTGAGGAGTTTCTGTCATCCTGAGCGTAATGGGATGAAATATTAAACACAGGGTATTAAGAAAACTGTCACAAAGAGAGAGTCAGGGCCTGGTTCCACTGCTTGAATTTTAATTTTTGAGGATATCTGCTGATTGAAAGAGAAGATGGCCACTGACATCTGAACAGTTTCAGGCTTAGTTCTGTGGAACTCAATACAAAATATACGGTTTTCTAAAGTTGGTCGAAACATCTGTCAGAGATGATTCATCTCAAACTTTTTAAACTACACACTGATGACACTGGCCAATTACTTTTAGCCACATTTGTAGGTTATTATCTTCAGGATTTCAACACATAAAACTGCAGCTAGAGTTCAGTTCCACAGAAAACACAGACTCAACCTAAAACTTGGGTTTTTAATCCCTTCCTGTCTATGCAGCTGAGAAAACTAAAAGAACAGGCTGTAAAATGTATTGATGGCAAGATTGTTTGAACCTGCTGCACCATGAAGAAATAAAAAAAAACATCAGTAGATGAATAAAAGCAGTAAAACTATCAGTACAGAACAGAAAACGAAGAAGGGTTTTAAAGTCTGATAGCTTCCCTTTGTGGGAAAAAAAGCTTGGTTCAACTCTGCAAAACTCAGATTAAAGCAAAAAACAAAGTTTTAGTGACGTTTAAGGCCAGCGTTCTGTTCTGAGAACTGATATCAAGCTTTTAAATCAAATTAGTGGAAGACAATGCAGACAAATTTGTGAAACCGTATTAAAAAGATTAAAAATAAAACAGTAATTGGGCACATTTGCAGGGTTCTTTGTCATGTCTGATTTATGATCATAACAACAACCCAGTCATAAACAAAGAGAGGCCTAGTGTAAGAAAATTTGTATTCAATAAACTGAAGTAAAGACGATAAACACAAATGTTAAATAAATTTATTTGTAGAAGGAATGAAAACCATACACCAGTCTGGAATCTGAGAGGAGGTTTATTGCTGCCGACTGCAGACAGGAAACCCACACTGCCCATAAAACCGGAAGCTCATGTATTTATACAGTTTCTTCAATGCCTTTTCTCGCCCCCTGCTGGCCTACGGCTGAGTCACAGGCATTCAGACACAATTCTTATCTAATGTCTTTCAAGCGTATTATTATGTGTTGTAAAAATGTTTCAGACATGTAACTAGACTTATTTCAATCAAGACATAATAGATAAACACTGTCAATATTTCAAAAAGGAGAACTTAAGAATATAGTGTTGTGCTTCTAACATCAGTACTAATCTAGCTAACTCTAAATTTCTTCACAATCCCCCTGTTCACATGACCAAGTCATGTGAACACTAGCATTCCTCAAAGAAATGTTGCCACACTAACATGACGCTACTGCCACAGGTGTCACGTCTGTGTTAGGTTGTTTTCATGGCTTTAAAATGATCTGCAGAAGTTTCTCATCCATCCATCCATCCATCCATCCATCCCTCCATCCCTCCATACATACAGTACATACATACATACATACATACATCTTCTGCCACTTATTTGTAGTTGGGTTGCAGAGCTTGTCCTTAGGCATTCTCAGACCAGAGAGGATACATAATCTCTCCAGCGAGTCCTGGGTGTTTCCCAGGACCTCCTACCAGTGGGCCGTGCCCAGAATAACTCTAAATGTAGGCATACAAGAGGCATCCTAATCAAATGCCCCAACCACCTTGATGTGGAGGAGCAGTGGCTCTACTCTGAACTTCACCCCAGATGATGGAGCTCCTCACTCTATCTCTAAGGCTGAGCCTGGCCACACTAAGGAAGCTCATTTGGGCCACTTGTATCCAGGACCTCGTTCTTTCAGTCATGATCCACGCCTCATGACCTTAGAAGAGAGATGGAACGTAGACAGACCAGTAAATGGAGAGCTTTGCCTTTCAACTCAGCTCTTTCTTCACCACGACTGACTGAAGCAACGCCCTCATTACTGAGGATGAGGCCCCAATCCGTCGATCCATCCTACCATCACTTATAAACAAGACACCCAGACACTTCAGCACCTCCACTTGAGGCAAAGACGTCCCCTGACCTGGAAAGAATTTTCCTAAATACGGTTCATGTGGGAGGTTTTTGGGCCTCCACCGTCAGTTTCAGCTTTACTGTGGTGGAAGAATCACCCTCTTACTGCACGAGTGGACAAAGGTGAATGAGTTTTCTGTGCAGAACCTTAATCACATCCACCCTTCTTACCTCCTCATCCGTCAGGCCTGAACACAATGAGAACAAGAGTTTCTTGAATTTTGCCCAAAAAGCCAATGAAGGATGGTTGAATGTGTTGTGGTCTTTAGTGGTGCATACAGAGAGCGTGGCTTGGTCATTGTAAGACGCTACATTCTAAGCTGTTTATTTTTAACAATAAAAGGTGGTCATAAAGTTGTGTAAAGATGACCTTAGGTTTGAAAGCAGAAACATCTGAGTTCTTTAGTCTGTGTGTAATGAGAAAGGTATATGATGCATCATGTGCTTAGACGCAGCTTTGTGGTGGTGGTCTGAGCTCTGTTTTAGTCCTGGTAACGGACCCACTTTCCAGGCAAACCCAAATGCATAACAAAAAGAAACCGCCACACTAAATAAAAGAAACGCAACAAACCTGAACCTCCGGTTTGATCCTGTCAGATTGGGAGGATGGGGAAGTGGAGGAAGGGGCAGCTTCAGATGACTTCTGCTAAAAGACAGAGTTAAAGACAAACAGCGATTAACAGAATAAAGCCCAGAAAGCATGGAGAAGAAGCAGGAGGTGAAACATGAAGCAGAGAGAGTTAAGACCTTCTTAGAGAGGCTGAATGAGGATTTCCCTCACTAGTCAATGCCTTAAACTGGGGTTTAATTCAACAACAAGCTGCACACAGAGCAGACTCTGCATTGGTGACTCTTTTATACCAGTGAGATCTTCTGTTAATCAGAGATGTTTTTAATAGCAAACAATTTTATCATGATTTGTACAGTAAGAACAAATATCTAACAGAGGAGAAAAAATATTTTGTACAGCAGGAGCCTTTCCAGACCACTCACTCTTCTGTGCAGTTCGTTTGTGATCTACCAAAGGGAGTAGGGCTGCATGATATTAGAAAATCTTGCAATGGCAATAATACTATAATACAATTATAACTGTAAATACTTCAATAACTATATCAGGTGCAATATATGTCTTCTTGTTCTTTCCTCCCTTTCTAATCTGTACTTCCTACATGTTGGATATATTGACTATCAAGACACTTTAAACAAGGAATGACAAACAAGCAGCAGATCTGGTTACTGAGCTCTATTTACTTGCAGCAAGGAGTTCATATAGACAGTGTCATCAGCATGAACAGACTCTGTACAACTGTTGAGCTTTTTAAAGGGTCTTCTACAAATGAGATGTGACCTCCTGTCATATGGCCACATGCATCCTCCAGTTCCTCTACCTAGGCCTATCTGTCTAAACAGTGGTCGTAAATGTAGGTCAACTCTACAAACTACATAAACTGTTTAAGAAGCTAAAAATTCCTAGCTGTGTCTTCATTCTTACAACATTCCTGAGCTCAAGCATTTACAAGTTAACAGATAAACCCAGATCAATAGCATTAATATCTCTTGTAATTAAATGAGCCTATGTGACCTTTAGTATTTTTGGCAAAGTCATTTGTGTCTGGTGTGAGCTTTGGCTGCTGTGAGACTCGATCCTACCAACTAAATATTTCATCAGCATGAAAAAATACAACTTCAAAGCTTTTCAAATACATTAGTCAACTATTATTACACTCCAAGCAGTCCTTTGAGATATCAATATTGCAATGAAGATGTTTTTGCAATATACTGTGCAGCACTTGCTTGGTAAAAATAAACAGTCCCTTGTTCTTCGCTTTACTTCGGAGGGTCTGGACTCTTGGCTGTTGAGAAATGATTGCTTGATGGAGACATGGCCTCTGGTGAAGTTTATAATGATTAGATCTGATTTTACCCAGTTGCTAACGTTTGGTCGTGATGTATGTAGTGCACCAGCTCGACCATAAAGGAAGCTATGTTAAGAAGCTAATCGCGTGCACTGTAAACAACCATCCTGTACTGGGCAGAGAGAAGTAACAAGCCAAACAAAATGGCTGAAAATGAGTGCTGCAGGTTTTGTGAAATTAATTAATTAATTTGGAAGCCTTGTCAACATGGACTGAATGGCTTCATTCATTTCCTCCGCTGCCATTGCCAGACTACAGGCAGACCAAAACAGAGCAGAAAATCGACGTCATCATTCAAAACTCCTTCTGTTCACTGATTGGCCCAGTTGAAAATCTACCGGAGAAATCATGTCAATGGGAAAAAGCCCAGATTGAGCAGAGAAGGGGGACTGGAATTGAGTGGAACTGTATATGAAGGCAATGACCAGGCTAGTGCAGCTCTAAAAAGGTAGGCATTATTTTTCACAGAACAAGGTTGGTTTGAATAATGTGTATTCCTTAATAAATAAACTCTTTATTCTAGGAGGCATCCTAACCAGATTCCCAAACCACCTCAACTGGCTCCTCTCGATGTGGAAGAGCAGCGGCTCTACGTTCTCTCCCTGGGCTGCCACCTTATCGTGGTGGAGAGGTTTGAGTGTCCCAATGATCCTAGGAGCTATGTTGTCGGGGGCATCACGCCCCTGGTAGGGTCACCCAAGGGAAACGGGTCTTGGCGAGGGATCAGACAAAGTGCAGCTCAAAGACCCCTTATGATGAGGGGCAACATTGGACTGAGTGTTCCCTCGCCCAGACGTGGGTCATCGGGGCCACATTCTGGAGCCAGGCCTGGAGGTGGGGTACATTGGTGAGCGCCTGGTGGCCGAGCCTTCGCTCATGGAGCCTGGACGGGCACAGCCTGAAGAGGAGACGTGGGTCCCCCTTCCCATGGGTTCACCATCTGTAGAGGGGCCGAAGAGGTCAGGTGCAATGTGTGATGGGCAGTAATCGAAGGCTAGAACCTTGGTGGTCTGATCCTTGGCTACAGAAGCTGGCTCTAGGGATGTGGAATGTCATTTCAGTTTAATCGCCCAAAAATCCAAAACACTTGAAACAGGCCGGAAATAAACTACCTTTACATGCAGGCTAAATGATACAAAGTGAAATGTGATCCATTAAAAGTGTTTGTTTTTATTTAGTTTGATTTTGTTTACAGACTAAACAGCAAACATCACACATACACCCTCCCTCCAGCCCCCATCCACCCACCAACCCGTCTCTCTCTGAACCACCTCAGGTGACTCGCTGACTTAGAGCACAACAGACAAATGGTTTCACCATTTTCCATCCTTCACCCTCATCAGCATCAAAAACTGTTGCCTGTGGTGGTGAAAAGAATGCAGCTGAGATGTGAATTCAGAGCCCCAACCCCCATCCCCCCTCTCTCTTTCTCTATTAAAGCCTCCTGTTCTTCAGACTGTGACGCTCCTGGAGATGTCAACACAGAAATAAACACTGAAAGACTGGCTGATGATGAAGATGAAGGAGGAACGAGCTGGAGGATAACAATGGAGGATAAAAGGATGAATATGGTGGTAGAGGAGGGGAGATAATTTAAAGAATGATGTCAGCTCAGTGATTGGATGAAAGGGGTTTTTTGAGGTGTTGTTTTGGTTCTGAGCTCTGAAATACAGAAAGAAAAATGGTTCAAGATTTTTCTGCAACTTGTACAGTGATGATGACAACTGCCTTCATTCAGTTCAGTTTCACTTCATTTTATTTATATACTGCCAATTCACAACACAAGTTATCTCAGGGTATTGTACAAAAACATGTGCATAAATTATAAAAGACCATTTGGTAAAAGTTAGCTAAGGAGGCCAGCAGAATGTGACAAATCGTAACATTTCCTGAAAATTAAGTCCAGAGAGAAACTGATTTTGTCTGGACTGATCACCAAAATCTTGCTTACCTTGACACCTAAATGTCCGACAGGCTAGCTGGTTCCTGTTCCACAATCAGGGAGCAGGTCTACTAGAATCGACCATCTGTGGTCAATTATTGCATGAGTCAATGTTCTCCAGTGGATTCGTGAGTCCAAATTAGCCTGTCACCCAGGATTAGAGTTCAGGAGATTATTGTCTAAATTAAACAATGTTTTGATCATTTCAGCCTTCATTATCTTCTGGAGCACCTGCACAGGAAGAACGAAACACTCGAGTCTCTTTTCTAGACTTTAGTTCTGTCTTTAATACAACTGTTCTGTTTTTACAGACCCAACTTCAGGAACTACAAGTCACTCCTGTCATCTGCAAATTTATTATGGACTTTCTCCCCAAAGGTTCTCCATATGTGAGGTGTGATGCCCACCTGTCTCTTATCACCACAGGGATGTGTACTCCTGTATCTGTTGATTCTGTAAACAATTTTATTTTTGTATTTTATTTTACTGTTGTTTAATCAGGCAAATCACATCTTTTGCAAGAGGGTCTTGGGCCTGAAGGCAACCAATTGTACATTTTTGGGGTGACATGCAAACTCCACAAAGAAAGACCCCAGGTCCGAACCAGGGAATCCATGAGTCCACTTTTATTTGTGTATTTATTTTAAAACACAAAATGAACTTTTGCCATAAAAAGTGTTTGTATTATAACTAAATACAAGCAGTGAAAAAATTATCATAAAAAATGACAACATTCAAATACGATGATCAACAAGAGGCTCAACAGAAAATTTGCCCATAAACCAGCATCAGGTTAGTAAAGTGTAACCACACCCCCTCAGACCAAACAAAAGTGATAATATAAACTGTAACAGTGTTTTCACTCTGATCATATAGATCAGGGGTGTTAAAAGTTACACAAGGGGACCAAAATTCAAAACTTGGTCCAAGCCAAGAGTCAGTCTTTGTTATTGAAACAATGTTCTAAAACCAATTATTCTTATAGAAACACATTTAGGACATACATAACCTAACAGATAAAGAAAAAAGATTAAAATTAGAAAGGACATCTTTAGCATTCATGTGTTATGCCTTTCTCTCTGTATTAGAAATATATTTGATCACACTACAGCAAACAAAAAGCTCTTAAAAAACAACAAAAAAAGAAAACCCTCACTAAAAATCATATATGAATTTAAAACAAGAAGCAAATACAGAAAAAGATAAATAAAGAGGATTGTTTTTTGCTCTTTCCGCACCAAAATCAAAGAATACTGAACAATTCGAACTTCATTTTCTTGGACTTTAGTGAACAGATTTGGAAGTCATAATGAGAAGAATGCACTAAAACCAGTGACAGAAAGAGAAACTATAAATCTATTTTACATTTAAATTATTTACCTACGGTGCTGGATAAAATGTTACCAATGGCCACATTTGGACTGCAGACCTTGGGTTTGACACGCAGTCAACTAAAATTACAGAATTAAAAGTTAAATTGTATCTTTTTACTTAAATTGTAGAATTTGTATTTTGCTTCTCTCTTCTGAGTTACTGGATGAAGGTTAAAGATGTCTGCTGAATGTTTTATTAATTTTGTTTGAATGCAATTAAGGCTCAAAGAAAGTGTAAAGTAATTTTAAATAAAACCTGCTCGTGAGTGATATTTTATTTTGCAGTAAAAATTAGTCTCAGAAACAGACTTATTCCTTTGCTTTGATGTGTTCTTTTGCCTTGAATCTCAATGAGTTGAATTAAAACTTAAACTGTATGGTGACTAAGGATCGTTTCTGTTTTTATCTGCTCAGG